CTCGAAAATGAGGATATTATTCTATAAGATCTGACTTGTCCTTTCCTCCAAATCAAGCACCCTGTGTCTGTGGCTCCAGACCTTTGGGAGGCTAGTCCTGCCTAGGCCTTAAGGGGAAGAGCCTGTACTGTCCCATCCAATTCTGTGGAACTTCATTTGTATCATGTCTGTTGGGGCCCTGCCATGTGCTAGGTGCTATTTTAGATATGTGGGACACATTAGTAACAGTTTCTGCTCTTATGGAGAAAAAAAGCAAATTAAATAAATAGGTGGTGTGAGAGGTCTGGAAGAACAGGTGGGATATGGGGGAGCAAGGGTGGGGGCTTTTCACCTTTAAAGTGGGTGAAGGAAGGTCACATGGGGAAGGAGACTTTTGAGAATTCAAAGGGTTGGAAGGACAGAAGCCCGTGGAAATCTCTAAGAAGGACCCCGGGCAGGAGGGATGGCCCAGGCAAAGGCCCTGAGATGGACATCTTCCAGGAAGGTTGCAGGAACAGCAAGGAGATCATCAGTGTGACTGGAACAGAATGAGCAAGGGAAAGAGAGGTGGGAGATGGAGTCTAAGGTGGAAGTGGGGGCAGCTGGTGAGGGCCTGGCAAGAACCTGGAATTGGACTCTGAGATGAGGCACCACCCCGAGGTAAGCACTGAGTGGCATGATTTGGCCTGTGTTTGAATAAAATCCACTCTGGCTTCTCTGCTGAGAACAGATACTTAAATCTCTCCATGCCTCAATTTCCCAGCTATGAAATGCACAGAGCAGGATTGCTTCAGGGACAGGATGAGGCAAGACTAGAAAGACAGGCACATAATGGGTGCTCTGTGAACGTCATGGATCCCTACTCTAATGGGATTCAGACAAGGACAGAAGGGGCTGAGGCCACTTGCATCTTGGCACTCAGGAGAGCAAAGACAGGGATCCTGCCTCCTTGTGGCCCAGGAGGTCCACCTGGCTTAGGGACATTGAGCCTGGAAACACAGAGGCTGACCTCAACCTGCTCTGCGACAGATTCGCAACTTGCAAGAGAGAGGCATGGAGTTCCTGACTGTACCATCAACCTATTACAAGCAACTTCGGGAGAATCTCAAGACAGCCAAGATCCGGGTGAAGGAGAGCATTGACGTGCTGGAGGTGAGGCTCAGCGGGATGCTAGGCCACAGGCAATGTGAGCCCTGAGTTCTATCTGGCCTCTCCCATCCTGCAGCAGACACAGGCACACAGAGGGAAAACCAGAAAGAAACAAGTGTGTGTGTGTCGGAGCCATATAAAGTTAAAACAGGCAACCTAGGGCTACGTTACAGGAAGTGGCGAACTTTCTGAGAAGGTGACTTTAATTGAAAGCTATATAATAAGAGGGACCTGGCCAAGAGGAGTGCTATGAAGAGCATTCCCAGCAGAGGGAAGAGCAGGTGCAAAGGTGATGGGGTGGGAGCAAGCTCCAAGTGCCTGAGGAGCAGGAGGAAGGCTCATGTGGATTGGAGACAGCATCTGAGAAGAGGTGTACCAAGGCAGGTAGGCGGGGGCCGGTTCCACTTGGAGGCTCTTACGATGGGGGTTTTGTACTTCTTTAGCCACAAAGCATTGAAGGTTTTTTGGCTTTACTTTTTAACAGCTAATTGGCACAGAACTCATATTAAATGGTTATCTCTAGCTATTTGCTAAAATCAAAATCAACATCAATTTTAGAATATCTTCAACACCCTGGAAAGAAACCTTGATCCTCTTAGTCATTACCTCCCAACCCCTCCACTTCCTTCCTCCCATTCCACCGTAACCCTTGGCAACCATTAAACTACCTTTGGTCTTACAGAAATGCCTAGTCTGGAATTTCACATAAATAAAATGATACAGCATGGGGTCTGTTATGACTAGGGTTTGTTTGTTTTGATTCCAGGGAATGAACCATTGAGCCACATCCCCAGCCTTTTTTATCTTTTGAGACAAAGTCACTGTAAGTCGCTGTGGCTAGCTTTGAACTTGTGATCCTCCTGTTTCAGTCTCCCAAGAAGCTGCACTAGGGTGCCCAGCATGACTGGTTTTCTTTTTCACTTGCATAATGTTTTCAAGGTTCATCTACTTTTAGCCTATGTCAGTACTTCATTCCTTTTTGAGTGTATAGTGCTGAGCATTGACCCCAGGACCTCAAGCATACTAAGCTACACCCCCAGCTCTACTTCATTCCTTTTTTTCATTGAATAGTATCCCATTGTATTGATGGATCACATTTTGCTTATCCATTCATCAGTTGGTGGATATTTGGGTTATTTCTAACTTGGGGCTATTATTATTTTTATTTTCACAAATTAGGTAGTTCAATCCATGATTTTTTATTGGCACATTATAATTATACATATGCAATTAATGGGGCTGGAGTTGTGGTTCAGTAGGTAGAGCACATGCCTAGCATGTATGAGGCCCTGGGTTTGATTCTCAGCACTATATATAAATAAATGAATAAAATAAAGGTCCATCAACATCTAAAAAATAAAATTAAAAATAATGCAATTCAAGCTTACATATTCACATATGTACATAAGAGAATAATATAATTTTATTTTGTGGCAATTAGGAATGACTCTGCTATGAACACTCATGTGCAAGGTATTGTGTGGATGTATGTTCTCATTTCCCTTCAGTATGTGCCTGGGAGTGGCACTGCTGGGTCACAGGCTAACTTTATGTTTAACCTTTTGAGAAAGAGTCAGGCTCTCTTCCAAAGTGGGTGTACCATTTTACATTCACAGCAGCAATAGGCAAGGGTTCCCATTTCCACAGGAGGGTTTTTGGTTTTGGGAAGGGGTAGTGGAGACTGAAGCCAAGGCCTCATTTTAAACAGATGAGTGAAACAATCTAATCTGAGGACTGCAGGGAGAATGGAGTGTAAGGAGGCAAACCCAGCAGCAGGCCAGGCTGGATGATTACTTAGCAAGGGCTGCAGCAGAAGGGTGGTAACACAACAGTTTGGGGATATATTTGGGGGGGCCAGGAATTGCTGGAAAAATATTTTTTCTTGGTGCTGGGGGCACAGAGGTCCCCTGGACTTTCTCCCACCGTGCCAGGCTAGAAGGCAGGCTAGTTTTTCTGCTAATGGAGCTCCCTGTCTCTCGTCCAGGAGCTGCAAATCCTGATGGATTATGACGAGAAAGGCTACCTCCTGCAGATCTTCACCAAACCTATGCAGGACAGGCCTACACTCTTCCTGGAAGTCATTCAGCGCCACAACCACCAGGTAGGCCCTGATCCAGGCCTGTAGGGAGCATCATCTGCTTTCTGGGTCCCCAGCTCACCTGCTGTCTCCCACTCCAGGGTTTTGGAGCAGGCAACTTCAACTCGCTGTTCAAGGCTGTGGAGAATGAGCAGGCGATCCGACGCAACCTCACCGATTTGTAGATCAAGGGATGATGGTCAGCACGTAGGCCCGCCCACCACACGTCAAGCCCCTAACCTGGAATATGCTCAACCCTCCCACTGGCATCTCTTTAGACCCTGCTCACCACCCGACTTCCTGGCCCACGCCTCCGCCTATCCCACGACCACGCCCTCTTGCTTGATCTGTTCCTGCCCTCCTGAGTAAGGAGTAAAGCACACCCAGTACTACGTGGTGCAGGAGTTTGTGCCCGGGAGGAGCAGTGGCGCCCCTTTGCGGCCAGGGGGAGGCCAGCGCCGTGGCGTTTCGGAGGCATCTGCCTTAGGGGATCCCTGCGCCCTGCGACCCAAGCCAGCGTGGGGTGGGATGCAAGCGCTTTGCTAAGTGGGACTGCGCTGGTCATGGGGATTTCTGGAACATGGGGACCAGGAGCCTACAATCTAGAGGAAAGTACAGGTAATAACGTTTCCTAGAAGACAGTCAAGTAGGTCTGAGGCAGTGGAGGTGGGAGGAGGACTAATTCAATCGAGGGAAAGCCCCTCTGAGAAGGTGACTTTGGGGAGCAGCCAAGGGAAATCCGGGGAAAGCGTTTCTTGGGTAAAGATAGCAGCAAGAGGGCTGGGGATACAGCTCAGTAGGCAGAGTGCTTGCTTTGCATGCACAAGGCCCTGAGTTCAATCCCCAGCACCATACAAAAAAAAAAAAAGTAGCAAGAGATAAGTCCCTAGGTGTGACAGAAGGTGGCAGCATCATGACTGGTGGCTTTATGACTCTAAAGATGCCTGTCTTGGATTTGGTTACTTGGCGTCCAAACCTCTGAATATGTGAGAGGGGAGAATTAGCCAAAGGACTTTCGGAAGGGACTTTCAGGGCGCCATCCTTGCAGGGCACCCAGAGGACACAGGACTGGTAGGAGGGATCTGAGCCACTCAGCTTCTGCCCTGCATCCTCACGTGACACTCCACAATGTCCCACCCAATGCCACTGCACCCGCCCTTGTCCCAGTAAGAAATCCCCTTAGAAAGGGGCTCTTCATACTCAGACACCAGCAACCCTTGCAAAAGACTGAGGCAACTGGTCCTAAAAACCCTTGAAAGGCAAATATTTCGTCAAAAAAAAAGGTGGGGGGCAGTGTTAGGGGAATAGCTCAGCAGTAGAGGGTTTGCCGAGAATGGGCCCGCGCAAGGCCCTGGGTGCCATCAAACCCAAGCACAGCAAAAACAGACAAAAAAAATCATACAGCAAAGGAGAGGTGTTCAGGGGACACATTCGATCCTTCTGCCTTTTTTTTGTTGTTGTTGTTGTTGTTGTTGTTCCAAGCATTGGACTCAGGGGCATTCAACCACTGAAACACATCCCCAGCTGGGCTTCGTTTTTTGGTGTTTTTTTTTTTTTTTTTTAATTTTTTTAATTTATATATGACAGCAAAATGCATTACAATTCTTGTTACACATATAGAGCACAATTTTTCCTATCTCTGGTTGTATACAAAGTATATTTACATGAATTCATGTCTTTATACATGTACTTTAGATAATAATGATCATCACCTTCCACCATCATTTCTAACCCATGGCCCCTCCCTTCCACCCCCCTTTTACTTTTTTTTTTTACAAGTTGCTTAGCACCTCACCTTGCTGAGGCCAGCTTGGAATTCGTGATCCTCTTGCCTCAGCCTCCCAAGCTGCTGGAATTACAGGCATTCACCATACGCCCCATCCTTTTGCTTTAAATGCTTGACATCCCTCCCTGAGGATGAGTAACCTCAGAATTAGTACAGGTGGATCTCTATGTAAAGAAAATAATCCGAGTTAATATTATGGGGGAAATTTGAGGTATTCTGTTTTCAGATTAAGAAAATACCAAGGTTTCTGGGATCATAAAATTCAAAAATGAAAAGAACATGAGAGAGAATCAAGATGAACAGGGCCAGGCCCATGCAAAAATAGTTTCCTTTATCCCCACAGCTTGTGCAAAGGGAAATTCTATAACCCACAATTTGGTGGTTTATAGGCCAAATATGGCCCACGGATGTACTTTATTTTGCCTGCATGGTTTCAAACAAGTTTGCAACAACATTGTAGAAAATTGTGCCATTTCATGGCTGGAGATGTAGCTCAGTTGGTAGAGTGCTTGCCTTGTATGTACAAGGCCCTGGGTTCAATTCCCAGAATTACACACACAAAAAAGAAAATAAGTTGTGCTATTTCAACTGGGCTGCTCAGGAGGCTAAGGCAGGAGGATCTCAAGTTCAAAGCCGGCCCCAGCAATTTGGCAAAGCATGAGCAATTCAGTGAGACACTGTCTCTAAAATACAAAAAGGGCTGGGGATGTGGCTCAGTGGTTAGGCACCCCTAGGTTCAATCACTTTTACCAAAAACAAAAACCAAAAAAAAAAAAAGAAAGAAAGAAAGAAAGCTGTGCTATTCCATATACAAATTCTGCTTCTTTGTGGAACAATCAGAGAACTCTGGGCTTGTCTTCCTGTGGAGCAACAGGCAGCCAGTGCTAAGTGTAAAAGCCTCTTCAGACCCATATGAAGGATCTTAACTCTGGGCAGAGCAGTCCCACATTAGCTGGGCTCAGGCTATGAAGCCAGACTGACAGGGTTCACAGCCCCAATCATCCTGTTGCCAGCTTTGATTTTTCTAGAAAAATAGGAAACCGAGTGCTTGTGGGGAAAATCCTCTGATTTTATAATACAAAAGGCTAATTCAAAATAATAGCCAGGCCAAACAAGTCCTGCCATTAGGCTAGTCCAGCATAGCACTGGCATTTTGATAACTGTTTCTTAACCTCAAAACAACTTATCCTACAGCTCTGTATTCCACTTCTTTGGTCAAGCCAAACTGCTCACACAAATCCCTCTGAAGAGTTTCAAAGAGGGCCTAGGCATACCTGCAATGTCACCTGCATCTGGCATCTGTGGGACACAGCCTGTCACCCTCCAGGAGCCTCTGGTACCAAAACAAAACAAACAGAAACAATGTGTGAGACCTGTCTCCAAAATCAAAACAAAACAAATAACAATAGCCAGGCCCAGTGGCACAAACCTGTAAGCCAAGCAACTCAGGAGGGTGAGATAGGAGGATTGCAAGTTTGAGGACAATCTGGGCAATTTAGCCAGATCCTGTCTTAAAAATTAAAATTAAAGACTAAGGATATGGCTCAGTGGTTCCAAGAACCAAAACAAAATGTAACATTATATCTCACAGAGCTGGGCAAGGTGGCACATGTCTATAATCCCAGTTACTCAGAAGACTGAGGCAGAAGGATCTCAAGTTCAAGGCCAACCTCAGCAACATAGCAAATACCTGTCTCAGAATTAAAAAAAAAAAAAAAGGCTGGGGATAAAGTTCATTGGTAAAGTGTCCCTTTTCAATCCCCAGTACTTTAAAAAAAAAAAAAAAAAAAAAAAAAAAAAAAACTTGTGAGAACAGTTTTTCAAAAGAAGACCAATGAGGAAGAATTGCTCAACAGATTCTTATGTATAATAAAGTCATTAAGATGGCACCATAGGGCACCCAAAGAATAGATCAATAGGACAGTGAAAATGAAAAAAGACCAAGAATAGACCTAAGCGTGAGTGAGAATGTGGTATGTGGCAAAGAGGGCCTAGGCACACCTGCACTGTCACCTGCATTTTAAATTAGAGGGAAAGAGGGGACTATTAATAAATGGTTAGAATATCAAACTAATCATCTGGAGAAAAAGAAGTCAGCAGGTCCCCAGTAGCTAAGTCCCCCTGCAATCTCCCCAGAGTCCTCCTAATGTAGAGGCACACTGCCACATCCCAGGAACTCTAAAGGTTTAGACAGAGTCCCCAAACTTCCCTCAAGCCTGGTCATATTAACATGGCTTTCCCCTTCTCTGTGTCTTCCTATTTCCTATTTATTTTAATCTACAAATGAAGTTCTTCTTTTACCAAAATCTTTAGGGTCAAGTGACACTCTTAAAAGATGCCCTACTATCTTAATGTGGCTGTGCAGAATTCAGCTCTGTGAACCCCCGGGGTTCCTTGTCCCACCAGGGCTTCCCAAAAGAATGAATTTATACCAAAACATGCTGCAGATGAAACCAGGGTTCAAACAGATTAAATGGAAGTCCTTCAGCGAAAAGCATAGATGATAAATTCCCTTGTAATGAGAGTCCATGGTCGAGACCAACCGCTGCCTACCAGGGCAGGGTGAGGAATGGCCTCCACAGTGCCCACGGCCTCATCTCTGGAGACGTGACCTGCCATGGCAAAAGGAACTTGGTAGACGTGGTTAAGGACCCTGAGTCGGGGAGATAGCCCTTTTATCACAGTGGTCTTGACAAGTGAAAGAGGATTCGGGAGGGTGAGAGAAAGAGGCGAAGACAGAATCAGAGGCAGGGGAGATGCGATAGCCTTCAAGACGGAGATGTCCAGGGGACGGGAAATACAGGTGGCCTCCCGATGCCGGAAGAGGCAAGGAAATGGAACCTTCCCTGAACTTCCACAGGGAGCCAGCCCTGCAGTCACCCTAAGTTTAGTCCAGTGAGACCCATCTGCAATTCTCACCTCCAGAACAGTAGGCTCAATGTATATGGGTTTTAAGGCAGGAAGTCCGTGGGCATTTGTTACAACAGAAACAGAAAACCAGCACCCAGCCTCTGCTCTCTCCCAGTCCCTTAGCTAAAAGCAAATGAATGCAAAAAAGATTTCTTTCAGGACAGTGATGCGCCTTCGGTGGCGCTTGTTCCCCAGCTTTCCTGATGGGCAGAAGGGCCTATGAGGGGAAGGAGAAGTTGACACAATGGGCAGGAGGCGGGACTTGCAGGAAAGATCCTGGAGAGGGGGTGCTGCTGGCGCTGGACCTCCCCACCTCTTCCTGCCTTTTCTTTCCTGTTTGCAACAAGGGTTGCCGGTGCCCGCACTGCCTGCTGCCCACGGGCCGCCCCGGGGGCGGAAGACCCACGGCCAGCGCCCGAGCGGGGCTCCGGCCTCCCGACCTCCCGGCCCCCGGCCCCCGGCCCTCCCAGGCCCAAGCCCGCCGCACTCCGAGCCCCCACTCACGCCCTCCAGCACTTCGTGATTGGCCTTGATCTGCGCCTCGGTCTCCTCCTTGTGACGCATCAGCTCGTGGATGTCGCTGACAGTCGCCGCTCGGGCCCCGACGAGCCTCCACTCTGCCCTGCGTCCCTATCCGACAACGCGGGCCACTGTCAAGGATCCAGGACTCCCAGCTTCCGGGTTACGGACCCCGGAGGAGACAAGGGCTACGGCTCCGTCCGTGGGTCAAATCTCTTCGGCCATCAGAGAACGCCGGAAGAGGCGACGGGCGGGGCTATCAGAAGCCACACCCACTATGAACCTATGGTCTTAGCCCTAACACGTGGAGGCCTGGGTTCTGGTGCAGCTCTGAAGAAATGCGCGCAGGCATTGGAGGTGAGCTCACATCAGGTGTCTCATTTTCGTTTGTCATTCATGCAACAAACATTTTTGAGCGCCTGCTGTATGTATGTGCCACAGAACTCTGCCCTGGCGCTCCAATTCAATTTTTCATGTCTTCAGAGCCCTTAAGGATTTACAAAATACATCCAGGTTTTTCCCCACCCCTCAAGCAAGTTCAAATCCACTCTCTTGACACTTACAGTGATCTGTGTGACCTTAGGTTAAACTACCTCGCCCCTCTAAGCCTCAGTTTCCTCACTGTAAAACGGTATAGTGCGTCGATAGCACTCTATATCACAGGGTTGTCCTGCCAACAATTATTCTGAACGCTTCCTATCTGCACATGCTGTCCTAGGTCTGGAGTGGTGAAGGTCTGTGCAGTAGGTATTACGTCCTCTATAAATTGTAAAAATACTAGCCATGAGGAGCTGGGGGCATAGATCAAGGGTAGAGACTTGCCTAGCTTGCTCCAGCACGGGGTGGTTGGGGGGGGATAATAATTATTTATCAAATACTTACGTTATGCCAAGATATTGTTCTGAAATCAGTGTCCAAAATGTATCAATTCACCAACCCCATGAAGCCAGGAGCATTATTATCCCCACTTGACAGCTCAAGAGACCATCGCAATAACCCACTTGTCCAACTAGCAAAACGGGAAGCCCGCGTTCCAATCCAGCTGAACCAAACAGACTTAACAGGTGCAACCAACAGTTTGCAAAAGAAATAGAACTCTACACTAGTCCTCCTATATGTTCTTCAGTCCTCTCTTTTAAATAAACTAACATTTTAAACAGTGACATAAAAAAAAAAGTAACCAAATGTACATCTTCACATGTGTCCCTAATATTCTGCACGGAGCAAGACACATCACCTATGAAGTATTCGAACATGTTTGGCCTGAATCTAGTCATGGAAAAACACACAGACAAATGCAAAGCAAGGGTACTTTTTTTTTTTTTTTTCAAAATAAAGGTCAATGTTGTGAAATACACACACACACACACACACACACAGAGAGAGAGAGAGAGAGAGAGAGAGAGAGAGAGAGAGAGAGAGATGGGATTACCTGGATGATTGCCTAAAGAAAAATACAGAGATGCAAGAATGTACAATGTGTATTTATTGATTGGATCCTGTGTCCCTCCCCTGAAAAAAAAAGCTATAAACAATATCTTGGGACTGCTGGAGAAATATTGTTGATGTTAAATTTGTAGATTTCAGTGCTTGTACTGTGGTTATATAATATCCTTAGGAAGTACACAAGAGAGAAGACTTATTTTCATGCATCAGAAAAAATATTATATATATGAATATATATTTGTACACAATTGAACAACAAAATAAATGCAGGAAAACAAATAATCGATGACTGGGTGAAAATGTAAATGGTTTTATACTACTTTTGCAAATTTTTATAAGTTGGAAATCATTTTCAAAATAGAAAGTTAAAAAATATTTAAACAGAAGAGTAGAAAGAAAACTTATTTCAGTAGGCCTCCTATATTGATACCCATTCCTTGAGTGTATAGTGGATATTTTCTTTTAGTGAAAAGCAGTAGCTTTTAGATATTTTGGGGCCAATTAGTGAGATTTGAATATAGACTTTATGTTAAATTCTAGTATATCAACATTAAATATTTTTAATAAGATCATGGCATAGCAATTACATAAAAGAATCTCCTTATTAAAAGTGATTAGTGATTTCTGCAACAACCAAGTGGCTCAAGAAAAAAAAATACAAGCAAGTGGGGAAAAGCAAAATGTAACAATTTGTAAATCTAAGTGAAAGGTATACCAATGTCTGTGGAAACTGTCTTTTTTTTTTTTTTTTTTTAAAGAGAGAGAGAATTTTAATATTTATTTTTTAGTTTTCGGCAGACACAACATCTTTGTTTGTATGTGGTGCTGAGGATCGAACCCGGGCCGCACGCATGCCAGGCGAGTGTGCTACCGCTTGAGCCACATCCCCAGCCCCTGTGGAAACTGTCTTGCAAGCCTCTGAGGTTTTAAATTTTTCCAAGTAAAATGTAGGGAGAGAAGATTCTCACCAGGGCCAACTAAAACCAGAGCTATTGTGCATCACTATGACTTTTGTCATTGTCATTGTGGTTGTGATTATTATGGGAAACCTAGACCCTGTCCCTTGTACTGCTGTCATAGTTTCAAATCCATTATCCTCTCCATCTCCACTCTCATCCCTGACCCCAGTCTTTCCCTGATTGCAGCAGCCTCTGAACTGGTCTCCATTAACCCGTTCCCCACAGCAACCAGAAGAACCTTTCCAAAGAGGACATGGTCACTCTGCTGCTTAAAGGACTTCAATGGCTTTCTGGCACTTTTCTTGTCCTTCAAGTCCTTCTGATGGCTGCTTGCTTTTAGGCCCCCTGCCCCACACCCTCCACTCCCTCTTTCCCCCACTATGAACTTCCAATAGTTGCTGGCACATGGACTGTGCACTCCCTCTGAGCCCTGGGTCTCAGTGCCTGCTTGTCTCTCCCCTCGTGCATCCCAGGCCAGACTCCAGCTCCTCCTCCAATATCCAGCTCCAACGTTCCTGGCCCTGGGAATCATTCTCTGACCCACCTCAAAGTGGACGATTTTCTGCACTTTCCTACCCGGTATTGTCAACAAGTCATGCCTCAGGATTCTGCAGGAAGTCTCACCAGCAAGAAAAGGCATTGCCCTCAACTTTGGATCTCTCAATCTCCAGAGCCATGAGCTGCATAAGTCTTTATTCTTCATAAAGCACCCAGTCTCAGGTATTTTGTTATAGCAACATAAAACAGACTAAGACAGGTAGGCAGCTCTTAGGGAATCTAGAAGGAAATGTAGCCATCCCCTAGGACAGTGGCCTTCTGTAGGGGAACCCTGCTATGCTAAAACAACATGTAGAGAGGAAGTAAAAGGGATACCAATCACAGTTGCCAATATTTAAGCATTTGGAAAAATAAGTCAGAGAACCATACAA